ATATAGTCTACTTCTATCCTAATTAGTTATGCACAGGAACTTTGAGAAGAACTGATTGTGGTAGATTACAGTCCTACTCTAGGTTGTCTGTTAGGTGTCAGCAGTCTGTCAACCAACTAATCAAAATAAAAATAGACTACTGTGAGCAGATGTATGCACAATTGGTATGATAGTGATGTACAGTTGAGTCCTCAATTGGAATCCCCTTCTCCTGTATCCAACGTACCTGTGAGCATCATCAGGCGGCGGTGTCTAAGGAGTGCAATATCGGCCCACCCCTGTGCCCAAGGTGTATGCTTATGACCAGCCTGCTCGTTATTTACCCTCACATGCAACGAGCCTTACGTCTGACTGATCTGGCTGATCGAGAGGCAATTTAAGGACAACCCCCTTGAGTCCTCAGGAATTATTTAACGTTGCAATCAGGACGACGATCACAACCAAAGGACAATTCAGACCCCAACCAGAAATATTTATAAACGGTCTGGGAGCGTCTGCTTAGGACTGGTCAGTCCGCACAATCCTTCTACCAGCGCAGCAAAGAGCTTCAAAGGACAAAGCAGCATGGCCTGCGTGTACTACTCCCATGGGTTGGCATGGTGACCGTGACCCGTGCTTCGACCAGGGCCCTTCAGAGGCACCGCCCTCTCCTGCCAGATGCGCCACCGGGAAGAATGTCGTCTCTCAAGATAGAGCGCATACGACTCCTCACCAAGAGAGGACACTCAAGGTTGAACTCACTTCCTCACGGTAAGAAGATATTGAGAGGGTAGATAAGGAATGGGAACAAAATACCTGGAGATAGCTGCCCCAAACCACATATTTCTCACCAATTGGGCCGACGTGCATTTCGATGACTGGTCAATAGCCTCGGTACCACCCACAACGCGATGCAGTGCCACCTCATCCAAAATGCCACGTCAGCATGCTCTCATCATCATACATACATCCGCTGTTGCCACAGCTTTCCAGTGGTTGGCCCCTCTACCTGGGCCCCGCTCAATCAAGCCAGCGCCAAAGTATCCTTACTGCACATGAAGCATCGTCAGCGCACCAAGTAACAGTGTCTCCAGCGCCAGGTAAGTGGGGATCACTAACCAGCTCCGATACCAAATTGCAAGGAATATGAGTGTGAACGATATACAGAAAACCAAGTTGCGAAATCACACAGATGTCGAAGTAGTCATGTACAAGCAAAGAGCACAATTGCATCGAGAATCCATCCAAATAGAGCAATACAATGAAGTAATGAGCCAATGTTTAAGCCCGCAGGCCACACCAACACAGTATCCAAAGTCACTCCTCTCTGTTTGGCACCCAGTGCCCAGCCTCCTCTACTCGACTATCCTACCTAGAGCTGTGTTCACGCAACAGGCTCACTTCGACTCTCGAAGACCAATGTACATGATGTCAACACCATAGCCGACCTCGCTTCATGCACCAGGTACGTATCTCGTCACACTCATCAGACCTTGAGAACCCACACTCTCGCCTCCTTCCCTGAAGACCACCAGATCGCCCCCTCTTACCCCCTAGGTCCTAGCAGCCCAGCTATGGCCGCCCTTGCACTGCTGCCCTGTAGCGCCCCACTTCACCTCAAGCTCCCCGCAAGCTCGCTGGCCGCAGCGCAGCATAATGCAGCAGCGTGACCGCATTGCCTGCGTGGGCCAGAATACCTGGCCCGGGCTGCCTCACTTCCTATATGGAAGTGGCAGCCTCCTGGATGCTGCGTGTGGCCTGTCTGAAAGCTTCCAGTAGCTTCCGGTTGGACCCCAGTCCCTGCGCCCAGGCCCGAGACTTCAGTTGAGGGCCTGGGCCCTTTACAGTTGGGCACGGCCTGAGTCTCCGGACTTGGGCCGTTCGCTGCATTTGTGCAGGGCCCCCGGGTAGGTGCGTCGACAGTACTACCTTTGTATAGACCGGTGGCCACTTCACCATGTATCGGCCCTGTTTTGTGTGTATGTGCCCAGGCGCAACTTGCAAGGGCTGGGCCAACTGTACGACGCAGCTTAGTGAGGCTCACGCATCCACTCAACCAACTGGTGTGCTGCAAGAGCCTGAACAGTGAATACCCACATATGAAAGTGTCAAAGTTTGGCCTCTGATGAATATTCAGGCCCGCCTTCACTTAGGGCGGGCACTCGGCTTGCTGGGGGCCTTTGCCCAGAACATGTGATGTCTGAAAGGGCCCCGTGAGGGCTCGTTCCTCGCACTCACATTCTTCAGACGGATGGCTCTACCTTCTCAGCCACGCTCACAGCAGGGAATTTTGGGAAAACCTGGTGCTCAAAAGGTGTTATTGCCATCAGAGATATCTGGGATGACTCAAGACAAGACTGGATTACAAGCAACCAGCTGCGTCAAAAGCTCCCCAGACTTCATAAAAGAGCTACTAACTTCTTTTTTTTTTTACTAACTTCAATCTGCTGAAATGCGCTATGCCCCCTTCCTGGATCTCCTGCTTGCGCAGACCCGACCAACCAGCAATCGACACTTGGCTCAGATCTCCAGACAATCCGACAGTGTATTGGCGGGTTTTGGGCCTGGCAACGGCGGCAGGAACAAAAGTCCAAGTATGGGCCCGGCGTGCCAACACCACAAAGGGAACAAAAGAAAGCAACTTGCTTTCATGGAAAGGAGAAGAAGTGGTGACTGTGGATCAAAACCTCGACGAGGTGAGAGTTTGGTGTTCAGTAGACCGCAATGGAAAAGAAACATGCTCAGGCGGACGCCTGGCCTCCTCCCTCAAGACGGAACCTTACCTATGTTGGTGGGAGGAGTTGGAAAAGAAACAAAAAGCCATCGCAAGGAAAGATCCTTGAGAAAGTTGTCATTTACAAAAAGTAAAGTGGGGAAAAAAAAAGTTGTGCTTCATGCTTTCAGCCAATACGACGCCGGCACCACGAATCAGAGGAGGATTTCTTCTCGACTCCAACGTGTTTGTCCTTTTTTCCTACTTTTTATACCCTTTTTTTAAGTTCCTCTTTTTTTTCTTTTTCTTTTACATACTCACAAGACTCCCATCCTACCACCCCTCTCGATATATCTCCTGGAGCATGGTCCCATTAGCAGTCGGATAGGAGTGTGGCCAATCCAGTGTGACACTGAGTGGCAGCGGCCTGACAGGTTCATTACGAATTTCTGGGCTGAGAAAACAGGAGAAAGGCAAAAAAAAAAAAAGGAAACAGAGACCTCCCACCTGAAATCACCGCAGAGTGCTTCCAAGCCATCAGATCACAAATGATCTGATGGTGGTGGTTGCAACACCAGTGAACACAGTAACTGCCACATTTTTTCTGGAATAAACTGACTTCTGTCAGCAGTGATCCTGATGCCCTCCATATACTCTCTGATTGAAGGAGGGCTCCATCCAATAAGATAATTGCACAACAGCAAGCAAAATACTGAAAATCTTCTATCCAGTGGGCCTATGGCCGACCCCACCCTCTTTTCGGGTTGGCCACACCCCCAACTGATTGAAAAGATTCTGGCGGGAAGCTTTCTTTGCACCGGCATGCCCAGTGTTAAGGAGAGGAGGAGGGGAACAAAGCTATCCTTACGTTTTCGGGTAATACATGTAAGATACTGACCGTGGGATCACGAGTATCACGAGTACTGCACGGCAGGATTTGCATCACTCAACTGCCACACAACCTCGTTTCTATCCTATCCCATTGCTAGTGGGACCTCGCCCCACCCCCACTCCTTTTCTATCTTACCTCATGCAAGGAACATCACTCTCTACTGGAACAACCTGACCAGACCGTTGCGGAATGTTTTGACTGAGAAATCCTTTGATTTTCAGGCTCTGGTCCTTGGGCATACTCACACTAGGACTTCTCCCACTCCTATCTGGACATAATTAGAGCCACGTGCATCCAGCCCAGGTCGGAAAAGCGCCCATATGCATCCAGTAATGTCCTTGTGTGAGTATGCCCTTCCAGCGTTTTCACTTTTTTTTAGGGACTCGGCTTCAAGCAATAGTGAAGCCGCTTTCCTCAAAACCAGGTTTTCAAGGTGCGTCTATCAACTGCAGCATTGTCTTTCATAAAAAAAAAAGAAAAAAAAAAAAGGTGTGTCTATGAAGACTTGTATGGGCGTCGTTCGACACTCCTCGGGGACGCGATTTCGAGGATTTCGTCATCGTTCCACCTGTCCTCGGAGCCGATTTTCGGAATAGAAACGTCAAAACACTCCGAGGACAAATCCTCGGGCTCCGAGGATTTCCCAGCCAAATTGTCCTCGGGTTCAAGGGACCTCGCGAGGTCCTTTGGAGCCCGAGGATCCGCGATTATCGGGGTGTCGGCGGCGCGTCACGAAGGGGCGACAGAGGTCGAAAGTGGTCCAGAGGTGGTCCGGAAGGCGGAAGACGGACATCCCGAGGCGTGGGCGTCCAAAACGTCGAGTAACGGCCTCGTCGTTCGGTGATCGTCGTGGGACGGCCCTGTCGGTTCATCGGGTGTCCCGGCCGAGGTGCAGTGGCGAGCATCGGACGTCTTCGGCTGGCTCCTGCCGTGGTCGTGCCGTTCCCGCGTGCTCCACAACGGTCGAAGAAGTATTTTGTAAGCGCCCTCCTGCAGCCAGCTGCGAGATTGCATCAATTTCATTCGTTGGCGTCTTCCCTCTCGCACCATTTGTCTCTGTTCGCCGCGCTTGCCACAGCGCGAGTGCGTCTTTTGTTTCTGCTGCCCTGTCATTCATGGCAGACCTGTACCGCAGGCTGCCATTGCTGCTGCTCGCCGTTGTGCTGCTGCTTGCCGTTGTCGTCATCCATATTTGCTGCCTCTTGCGCGTTCCAGGGAGGAAACAAACGCAGCAAACGTCGAAGACGGCCAGGAAGATGGAGAGGGTACAGAGGAGGACCACGCTGTCTGTTGGGCTGCGGGGTCGTCACGTCAGCGCTGCAGAAGTGCGGAAGCAGTCAGGCGGCCGTACGACCCCGCACTGTACAGCCACCTGCCGTCCCACGAGATACCGTTGCCTCCAACTGACGATGACGGCAACGACCCACGATGTTCTACCCTTCCTCTGGGCAGCGGTTCGACTCAGGATTGGATGGGGAGCCAGCTGCACAGGCAGGCATCTACGCCAACGTACACTGATCTGCTGGAGGGGCGTACCCCGGCTGGTTATGACCCAGGAGTGCTGGATCTCAACTTCGGATTGAGGTCCGGGAGTGCCGAGGAGGTGACGCGCACCGTTGTCGTGAACCCAGCTTCGGGGACCACCCACACACCGGCTCCAGTGACAACGCGGACTGGCGGATCAGTTCCGTGTAGAACGACCACGGCAGGTGGCACAGTGGACGGACGACGCCCAAACGAAGAGTGGTCAGCAACGGAGGTCGTTGGTCGAAAGTTTTGGGATGATCATCGGCGACAATCGCGTGAAGCGAGCACGRCCGRCATAAYGAGAGGGGTGGCRAAGATTACCGTGGGGGCGGACGATATATTAGGCGATGAAGATGGTGCAGTTGCGGAGGATTGCGAGGCGGACGACGGGGCCGGTAACGACGACGAGGAGGACGATGAGGAGATGGAGATTCGTCCAGTAGGGAGAAAGCGGGGAGGGTCGAGGGCCGCGAAAAAGTTGCCGGAAACGCGCACGGGGCGGAGGGGGAAGAAGGGTGTGGAAGATGCGTCGGCTGGCGAGGGATCGAAAAGCCGGGATTTTTGGACCATGGAGCACATGATTGCTCTCATCCGGGCAAAAAGAGACCAGGATTCGCATCTTGCCGGCCTCGCGCACACCACGGGAAGGATGAAGACGAAGACATGGAAGTGGGACGACGTGGAGAAGAGGCTGGTGCACATGGGGGTCACAAGTAGAAAGGCCGTCGATTGCGGGAAGAAATGGGACAACCTGTACCAGCAATTCAAAACCGTGCACAAGTTTATGGGAGAATCGGGGAAGCCAAATTTCTTCACACTAACGCCAGGCGAGAGGAAGGAGCGGGGGTTCGATTTCCGGATGGATGAGCGTGTGTATTCGGAGATGGCGGCGATGACCAGGAGCGATCACACAATACACCCCACCAATCTCGCCGACACTGGTGCGACTGGAGGTGTTCAAATGTCCGGCCCACGCGGAGGTCGGAATGAATCCGGCGGTAGTGAGGGGGGCGGGGATGGACAGGACGACGATCAGGGGTCGACGAGGGATTCTATCAGCGGCGGTGGTGTTGGCGGGGGCAGCAAATGGAAGAATGTGAGACAACAGACCTTCGACACGATTGCACACGTGATGAAGGAGCACGGGAGTCTGATGGCGACAACCGTGGACAGCGCGAGCAAGAGACAATGCTCAATTCTGACTAGGCAGTGCGACATTCTGGAGCGAGAGGTTGAAGTGCTGAAGGAACACTACGTTAAGGCCGACCAGGCGAACTTGATGATGTGCGAAGCACTTATGGAGATTGCTAAAGCCATCCGCGAGCGATCGTGACCTCTCCCCGCCACGCGTGCCATTATTGTCCTGCGTGCTGCAGTGACGAGATGTGCAGGTTGTGTACAGACGGCTGTTTTTTTTTTTTTTGGGCGCACGGATTTTTTTTTTTTTTTTAAGTATGCATTTATTTGATGATTTCATTGTGGAATGGGTATGATTGTTGTCATGCCCCGCGGCGCGTCCTTCGGTGTTACACTACGTCGTCTGATTATAGAATATTACGATTGCTGTAGTGAGGCGTCGCCGGCACGCATGGATGGCGAACTCCAGGGGTTTCGGAGAAGGGTGTGATTTTCGGGCGGGAGGGGGTCGTTGGTTTGGCGGGCTTTTTCGACCTCCGCCGGGGTCCTTCTGCGTGCCCACTTTCGATGTTGGCCATGCGAGGGATGGCATGCGCTTGCGGAGGAAAACCGACCATGGGCGAGTGACGAAGGGGCGGGCTGTAGTGGACGGGGACTCATGTCCACGGTGTACTTTCACATCGCAGTACGTAAAAATAGGACATTTCACCCGCCATTCCGTACCGCAGTGGTTCCTTGGCCACGGCTCCCTCTCGCACCGTTTGCCTACCTGCTCGTCGTCGCACGCCTGCAACTCCGCTTCGCCGCTCCACGCTCCCGCATCGTGCTGCGCGGGCAATGCCCCTTCATCCGCATCAAACAAGTGGTCCCGCGTCCCCGTCGCGATAGCTGTCCTCTTCGCCCACGTGCCGCGCTTCAAGGACTTGAACGCCGCCTCCGTCCACGTGCTCCTTCGTCGACGTCATCCTTCGTGGACGTGCTCCTCCGCCAACGTGTTTTGTCGTCCGCGATCCCCATTTCGGTCGCCATCGTCGTCGCGGTTCCACGACCACTGCCCCGTCATCTGCATCATCCACGTCGTCCTCCGTCCACGTGGAAGCACTGGGAAGCAGTCAGGCGTCCTTCATCCGCGCGCTCTTTCGTCGAAGGCAGCCTTTGTTTACGTCGTCGTTGATTCCGGTTTGCGGACCAGATGCCCCCACGGGGTGCCTCGGCGAGGGGTAGGACAGATGGTGGGGCGGGCGACGGTGGGGAAACCAACAAAGGCAGAGGCCACATACCGAAGTCGAAAAGGCAGTGCATCGATGACGCCAGCTCCTCATAAACTGATGACTTCGTCGCAGACGAAGTGGCTATGGTGGACGCGCAAGGGACGGCAGGGGTCGCGAGGTTGGGTTTCGGGCGGGATGGAGTGTCGAGGGAGCAGCTGCAAGCAGTGAAACGCAGCGTTGTTGGCAGTGCTGCCGGGACGGTGCCAAGGACCCCAAACACGACAAGGGTTGTAGTCACGGGCGCGCGGGTCGCGGGACAACTTTCGGCGGCAGCTGGCCAAGGTCAGCCACGTCAGGCACTTCCCCTGCAACACGTGTTGGCATCAGGGGGAGGGCACACGGCGACCGCGCAAAAGGGCGACGCGACGACTAGCACCAGTCGGATGGCGGCGGCAGATCACACAACTAAAGGCGGAGCCATCGAAGGTGCGGAAAGGGGGGGGGTCGACGACGTTGACCGTGACGATGGCTGAAGAAATGGAAAGCGGGAGGGCAATGACGGCGGTGACCGTCCACTTCTGCCGAGGGGGAAGGGAGCGCCGAAGGAGGACGAGCTAGAAGAGAAGGCCAAGTTGTGGTTTGATTGCGACGCTTTCTGGGGTCAGGGTCCTGGGAAACCTCTGAGGGAGGCGGTAGGCGAATGCACCAACTACTTCGTCGCCATCGCCAACGGAGACGCAGGAGCTGAGCCGCCTTCGATGCTCATCATGCCGCCGAATGACGTGCCGCGCTTCAAGATCGACGACCCGGCGCAGCGTGATCCGGCTCTCCGCAGAGCGCGCAGCGTGGAGAGAGTAGTGCTGCGCACCATCCACGGTTGGATCTTTAAATCGCAGTCGAGGTCGACTGGCTTCTCTCGTGCAGAGTCCTACATCACCGTCGACTTCGCCACGGACCTCGCACGAGCAGTTTGGCAGGCCTTGGAATGGTCGAGAGTGGTATCCCCTGCACTCGTCTACCACACGTTGGCGATGAAGATGGACGTGCCTCTGTGGTTCGCGGGGGTGAAGATTGAGGACCGCCCGGAAGACGACGACATGGCGGCGTGGCAGGAGGCGACAGTTGTTCTGCTGGCGGAGTGCTGGACTGATGCGCTCTGGTGCGGACAGTGGGCGGATGGCGGGCGCGTAAAACAGGAGAGGTTGTCCAGGCTGGCGGGCAGTCTGCGAGCGTTGTTGTGCGCGGTCATGTGGATCATGCGCATGGGAGGTGACGACGACCGATCGCATTACGAGGCATGGTCGTACGCGTCCATGGTCGCGAAACCGACGATGATAGCAGCGGGGTCGTACATCTTCAACTGGCGCCGACACGTGGTGGACTCCGCCAACCTCGTCCTCAATCGTCTAGGGAAGGCCCACCTCACGTTGGGAGATTACCCGCAATGCATTCCGGAATGGTGTGATTGCGGGTTGGCGTTCGGGCACAACGCTGCCCTGAAGAACGTGGCGGAGGCTGCAAAACACGGGTGGATCGGCAGCGGGCCCGCGGCGGATGACGATGGAGATGATGGCAAGTGACACGTCAACTCGAGCAGATGGCAGCGGGTTGGTGGGCATCGTCGGCGCTTCGTCGACGGTGGTGACGAGGGGAGGAAGTGTGTGCCTTCAAGTGGACACGGTAGCGCAGAGGCGGGACGGGTGTTGCGAGGTGCTGGGGGTGGGGGGGGTTGGTGAATAGGTGAGGTGGCAGGTCCTGCGCAGCAGTCTGTGAAGGAGGAGGTGCGGAAACATCTCTCACCGCGCCGAACGATAAGGGTGGCGAAGACTGCGCGGTCCAGCGACGTGGCCATGTCGGCAGATGGCTCTGTATTGCGCGTGTTGTGAGCGGCTCATGGTTTTTTTTTTTTTTTTTTTTTTTTTTCATGTAGTCCTTTAGGAATTGGAGCACACTTTCTGATCGTGCTCCACAAAAGGGTTTGTTAATCATGGGGGTGACACGTGGCAGCACTGCGCAAACGGCAGGATAAGTTCGTCCTTCGTGGTTCGCGGTTGGAGGGTGGATAGTGGGGAGTGAGTGTGGATAGGTAGGAGAAAAGTCGGTCGTCGCCACAACTTTTTCTGTACTTCAATGGATTATATGCAATCATTTCTGTTTCTGTGTGAACGTTGTGTGACTGTATGCTTCTTATTGCTCAACCACTGCTGCTTTTCTTCTGTTGTATGCGGGTTTATCATGCACGATAATCGATAATGATCGTCTGAATCGCGTCCACAGCTTCTATTCTCATGCTCTTGTTATTGCTCATCGCCATGTCGTCCACAACTTCTGTTCATGTTGAACACCACAGATAAAGGGGAAGAAAAAA